TTTATTAACATACAGAATTACTCCACATGCTGTTACTGGGTGTGCACCAAGCGAGCTGTTTTTGAAAAGACAAATTCGTAATCGGTTTACATTGTTGAAACCAAATCTTGAACAGACTGTCACTCATAAACAAGAGCTGCAAGCAAAGAATCATGACAGCCGAGTTAGAGTGCGTTCATTTGAAGTCGGACAATTCGTTCAGGTTAAAAACTTTCGTGGAAACCTTAGTTGGTTGATTCCTGGTCGTATATCAAAAACATTAGGTTTACAGACCTTTCTTGTCCGAACCGGGGGTAAAATTCGTTATTGTCACATTGATCATTTGTTACCTGGTAATGATACTGTCGATTCAAATGGTAACAGCCCAAGTGATACAGAGATTGATATAACATCATCTAAACCGTTAGTACCCGATTATGGACCAGATTTGTTATTGCCTAATATTTCAAATACTGCATGTACTTCATCGACTACAAGTACTCAAGCAACAAGTATTGATACTCCAACATCACCCTTCAAGCCAGTTGATACCAAACAACGTTACCCACAGAGAGTTCGAAAACCACCAGAGAAGTTAACTATGTGAACTATTTGTGTGAAATTTTTAAATAATTAACGTTTATTTTGTTTTGTTCCCTCAAATAGAGACATTTTAGTTTATGTGAACAGTACAACTTTTTAAAGGGGTAGGAATGTAGTATTTATGGTTATGCTTCGTATTATTATTACGCTATGTATGACGTCATACCGGTAGAATATTCTGGTGTTCATTTTACCCATAGTGCTTTGGTGTACATGTGCTTCTGGTAATAAAGATGTCCCCGATCAAGTTTGGATGTGTCCGTGGTTTATCGTTCTTTAGGAACCTTATCATTTTGTATGTATGAGTATACTACAATTTTGATACCCGAATTCGTTTACAGTGGCTTCATATACGTCATGTAAGACATACAAGCATGCCTATCAGATATCATTATTTCAAATTATATTATCACCACTGGTCGAAAACGTAAGAACGAGTTGAATAGCGACGATTCTTGAGCGAGAAATCATTTCGCCATATGTATCCTATTACCCTCGCCAAAATGATCTAAAGGTGAATGACGGGTATAATTGTAAGCATCTCTTACAAAAATATAATTGAAATTTATATCATTCTATCAGGGATTCAGATTCTGATACCTTTACGGTACCTGAAAATAACTATTGGCCAATTGTACACGCAACACATAAATTTATAGAAAATTGGCAATCCTTGAATGAGATCTAACGTGTAAATACTGAAAATATATTGTGCAGTACGGTGTTCAAATAGACTAAATTCACCCCAAAAAATCTGACCTTATTAAATCCAAACTGTGCTAATGTATTATATACAGACAGATTTTTAAAGTTGTTGTATATTGTATTCTATATTGTATTGAATATTATAAAACAATTAACGGTTTTATGTCTCAGCTAGGCTTATTAAAATAAGCCTAGCTGAGACATAAAATTGTTAGATGTTGTCTTTTTTAGCACACATTTTTGGCAGATAAAATATTCCAGTTGGCGGAAAAAAAATATGAACATTTTATATATATAAAAATTATCATCCATTTTGGCGGAAAAAAATTGAAAGCCAGTGTGAGCCCTGCCCTTGATCACTTTTATTGACTTTAAATTTATACACTGAGGTCATGAGACAAAGAAGCCTATTGATTTTGAACAATTTCCGATAATTACTACTAGAGTTATGGCCCTTGATCACTTGTGGATGCTCTAGAGGCTAAAGTTAAGGATTTATACACAGTGTGTAAGGTCATGAGACGAATAAGCCCATTGATTTTCAATGATTTCCGAAAATTACTACCAGAGTTATGTTAATATTTGTATTTGTTTATTGCTTTAGTTTCGTGTACTTACCGTTTGTTACTCTTTATTTTGTACGTTTCCAATCCTTATTTTTATACATGCCTAGTGGAGCATGCGCACTTTGAATTTGTAACATGGCACCAATAAAAAGATATACTGTACGATCAGACAATTAAGTTTGTATTTAACATGGTAGTAGTAGCGTAAGGCGCTCAATATAGTGGCGAAAACTATACCTAGGGCGGTTATAATTGTGTTACACAAGTTTTTATGTGAATTGACAGTGAAGTCAGAATGAAATTCAATGAATAAATACGGTTGGCGAAAAACCGGAAGTATAAAAAATGTGAGGTTAGTGTAAAGCCATTGAGTGACAATTTACCGGAAGTTGGACAGATTGTAAACAAACGACAGCGGTTGAAACAGAAAATGAGTTTGAAGTTGAATCCTCCGGTGTTTTCTGACGATAAAATTTATGAACGTTACAAGCAAGAGTTAATTGCATGGAGGGAAATAACTAATTTAGAGGAGGCCAAGCAAGGAATTGCTGTGGCATTGTCTCTTCCAGAACACGAAAAACATAGTGTTCGATGAACTGAGTATCGATGCGTTGAAGACAGATCAATGTTTTGTTAACATTTCTTGATAAACATTTAGGAAAGGATGATCTTGTAGACAGTCTTGAAAAGTATGCAGATTTTGAGGAATATAAACGAAAGGATGATCAGTCAATCAGTGAATTTATCTCAGATTTTGATTCAAAGTATGCCAAAATAGTGAAAAAAGGAATGACTTTATTACCGGAAATTCTGGCATTCAAACTTTTAAAATGTGCAAATATATCTGACGATGACCGTATGATAGTCCTTACAGGAATTAACTATGAAAATAAAGCTACTGTCTGAGTCTTGGTAAATTTTAAACAGATTTCTTCGATTATGAACAACCTACTTACCTTTGGTTATTATAAACTTACCTGTGTGTTTGTAATCAACTCCCGTTCGATAAAATCCATTGCACAACTAATTATCACAACGATGAAAACAAGTTCTCTCTTGAAAAATTGAAATATCGCAAACTTTTCCCAAAGAAAAATACCAATATGGAAGATGGTTACGTCGCTCTGCGGAAGATATCATTTCGTATTAGGGGTGACAGCATAGGAAATTCAAGTACAATTACGACAAGAATCCATGACCACTCGGTTCAAGACCAGTCGGACCAACTGATAGACCACTCAGCCCAAACAAATAGACTACTCGGACCATACAAAAAGACTATTCGGACCCAACAGAAAGATGACTCGGACCAATAATAAAGTGTTGTTTTAATAAATTGATAATTGCGTTTGTTTTAATATGATTACTCGAACCAATAATAAAGTGTTATTTTAATAAATTGATAATTGTGTTTATTTGAATATGACTACTCGAACCAATAATAAAGTGTTATTTGAATAAATTGATAATTGTGTGTGTTTTAATATGACTACTCGAACTAATAATAATGTGTTGTTTGAATAAATTGATAATTGTATCCCAAATCGCAAAATATCGAGAACCACACTTGTAGTCACGTTTAAAAAGGGGCATATAAACGTCCGGTCTTCGTATTATTATGTGCTGTTTATATTAACGCATCAAGGGCGGATAACTTGAAAACGTGTCTCCCTCCCCCCCCCCCCCATATATAGTAACCCAGGGGTTAGTGGGGTAGAACGGAATGAAACCACTGGGGATACCGCGAATGTGGAAAAAGTAAAATTAGTCTATCAGACAAGAACAGTATACCCGTATGTGCAGAAACTGTCAAAAGTCTGGACATACCGAGTCTCATTGCAAGAGTAAATAAGAAAAATTAGATTGATATTTTTTTTTGGCACCATTATTAATTAATTTTAAAACTAATCGTTGATTTATTTTCCGTACACAAAATTGAACTAAACAACTCTAAATATAAGAATTCCGTATAAGAATTATTTGTTTCTTTGTATTGTGATTTAATAATAAATAAAATTGTCTAGCCTTATAATATAATTTAATTAGTCCGACTGGTCTTGTTTTGGTCCGACTGGTCTTAGTCCGAGTCGTCTTTGGTCCGAGTCGTCTGGATACCTACGACAATTGGCATTGAGTTTGAGCGTTCGCACACATAACTACCCGCATTCCTGTATTTAGTTACCGTCTTTTACATTCTAGTAAAATCTCTGCAAATTTTATAGCTTTACTTTTTGAAATATTTTGTTCTAATTATTTGATTAGCGACTCGGATGGGATAATTTACTTTTGAACACGCATGCCGCACAAACACAACTATACATTCGTTTTACGGGCTTTATCACACTTCGGTCAAAACTGTCGAATCGAGAATTAATGTTCCGCTTCTTACGGGGTCATACGGGCTTAGTAGCATTATATACCCACCCGGGCACCCAATAGGCACGCTGAGGGCTGCCGCAACATGCTTAAAGATGTTACTGAAGCGGCTATTATTCGATCTAAAGAATGCGTATAAAATTAAAAATACACTCAGAGAATTCGGAGGTAAGCTTCATGATCCTTGTTAAATTATTTATAACATAAAGAAGATAGGATATAAAGTTTATACATGACTTTATTTTTACGAGTATCCGTGCAATCAGTGATATTTTAATTGTGAAGAAAATTTGATAGACTGGCGATCAATGGTTTCCATATAAATATCCTATGTAATTGCCTTCAATTGATATTTTTCGTCGCCCAAACCCATATACGATCAAAATGATCGCGCTGTCAAACTATCTTTCAATGTTAACCAACCCCCGCAACAGGTATATTGGATTCGACCAATACGTCACGAAGACATTGTTGACATCGACTCTATCGAAATTACAAGTAAATTTTCAAATTTTTCAAGAGAGAACTTGTTCTCATCGTTGTGATAATTAGTTGTGCAATGGATTTTATCGAACGGGAGTTCATTACAAACACACAGGTAAGTTTATAATAACCAAAGTTAAGTAGTTTGTTCATAATCGAAGAAATCCGTTTAAAATTTACAATGGTTCACACAGTACCTTGTATGACCAAGCCAAAGTTTCTCTAAAAAGTTTAAGGGGTCGGGTACCTCTTCTGCTCCAATACATAGTAACTGTAATATGCAAATTATCAATATTTCGTTTTATTGTTTCATTTAAAATGTCCAGTCTTAAATTTAGATGTAATTTTTAGTTGAAAAGAATTGTTAACCAGTGTTCTACTCTTTAAGTAAATTGCTATGCTAATTTGAGTCTGGTTGACCGTGTCTTGCGAGGTCGCCATTGACGAAGCATGGCTGCTGCCATGAAGCTGTGCTATTATTACGTTTATTTTCATTGTGGGATGACATAAAATACGGTGAGCACACAAATTATTATATAACTGTTGAGTATAGTAATCAGGGAAAGTATTTATATTACTGTTTTTAGTTGTCACATTCATAATTACTGGTTTTGGAAGAGTTTAGAATTGTCACATTATAGCGTCTATTCGGCACGGTTGCTGGGTAAAGGCCCTCTCATAAACTATGATGATGTTTATAATGTTGACACTTGTTTAAGCCAAAACTTATTTTTGTGGTTATTTCTCTATTTTTATGTACTTGGTATATTGTGTAGATAAATATGTATGTATGGTTGTACATTTTATCATGGAAATTTAAAGGTCACATAAGACAGTTAGGTTGATATTTGTACTGTGCTTATAAAGGCTGTCTCTGTATTTTCAGCCAATCACCACTACTATCACCACCATCACCACCATCACCGCAGTTGTAACGACCTTATTACTTTATGATTATAGAAATAAAATGGTGCATTGCCGTTCATTGTTAAACCTTTTGCTGTATTTATCATTGGCGTATTCGTTATTCAACATGGAAGTTGAAACTGGAAACCAGTGCAGTAGAAGTACGTCTGCATTATTAAAAGAAGATATTGGTAATGCTAAAGCCAAACTGAACTCAGTGTTTAAATGTTTGAAGGACATAACTGAAAATGCCAGGCTGATGGTGGCTACTAATGAGGACATTGTTGCAGTAAGGAAACATTATTGCGACTGGATGTGTTTGTATGAAGATTATATGAACACTCATGAATACTATTGTTCTTTTTTGTCTGTAGACGAAAGAGCTACCTATTATGATGAATATTATGATGAGCGTAAGATATACTTCGCTAACTTTAAATCTTCAATTCAAGAATGGTTTATGAAGGCTGAAGATGTTACGTCAAGCAAGGGATCGAGATCCAATAAGTCAAAATCAAGTTGTCATTCATCTCGATACAGTGCCATATCGTCTTTAAAGTTTAAAGAGGACCAGAATAAAGTTGAGTTAGCAGCACAATTTGAGGCCTTGAAACAACAGAAAGAAATTGACGCTGCAAAACTGGATTTGGAGGCTGCAAAACTGGATTTGGAATTCCCTGAAAAGGAACTGGCTTTAGTGATGAAAATAAATATTTCGAATGGTAAGGCCAAGTTGTTCGATGAATATAATAAAACTTGTAATAAATCTTCTGAAAATAACATTGATGGTCGTAAGTCTTCAAATGTCAGTGTTAGTGATAAACATGTTCCAGTATGTGATGAACCCTTAACGTCTGTTAACGCTGATGCTGATGAAAATACTACGGAAAAGCCAAACCTCAGAACTTCGACATTGCCGCACAATCAGCATATGAGTACCAGACAAGATTTTCTTCGAGTTAGGAATTATAGTACTCCATCTACTGGTTACAATGATGTAATCATTCCTGAGCAAGCTTCTAGGTATATGCCTAATGCTACACATGACCCTCCAGATGCTTGCATACCTCATCAAAATCAACCCGAAGGGGCCTTGAACACTATGCTTCGTCAGATCAGAAAACCTCGCTCCAATATAAAGCCATTTAGTGGAAATGTACTTGAATATCAACGTTTTATTAGACAATTCAATTCAGCTGTTGTGGCGAACTGTGAGTCCATGGAAGAAAAGTTAAATTTTCTTGATCAGTTTACGACTGGAGATGCGAATAAAATTGTCTAAAGTTATTGTTATTTGAACCCAGATCAAGCTTATCCCTTGGTGTTAGAACAATTAGAAACTCGTTATGGTAATGCAGAATTAATAGCTAATGCCTTTATAGAAAAAGCACTTAATTGGCCTATCATCAAATCCGACAACCCAAAGGCCCTTGATGAATTTTCTATGTTTTTGACGGAGTGTCTACATGCGGTTCAGAGCATTGAGGCGCTTAACATTCTAGAATATTCAGAAAATTTAAAGAAGATTCTTCAGAAGCTACCATACCATATTCACGATAAGTTTAGAAATGTTGTACAGTTGACACACGATCAGGGAAATAGAGTGCACTTCGAACAGCTAGTTCGTCTTGTAAATTCGGAGGCAAGGAAAGTCAATGATCCCACCTTCGGTAAACAAGCCTTATCCATTGACCGTTCTGTATCTGGTAACCCACCAGTACCACGTAAGCCTTTCAAACCTAGAGGCTCTTTCGCGACTCAACTAACCGATAATGGGGTTAAACCTAGTCCTTCGTCAGACCGTAAACCCATTAATCCTCCAAAGGAATTTGAGGCTGCCTTCAGCAAGCCATGAATATTTTGTAAACATCCTTCACACCCTTTCTGTACTTGTAAACAGTTCTGAACATTGAGCTTTGAAGAGAAATCTGACTTTATGAAATCTGTAAGACTATGTTTCAGATGTCTGAAATCTGGTCATATGTATAAATTTTGCAGTGTCAAGACTAAATGTAGTAAATGTGACGGTTCACATCATTCTATTATGCATACAAACAGTAGTGTAAATCCTGGTGGTGAAATGTTCTCAAATAAGTTAAAACCTGATGTTATCAGCGCTCTGATGGGTAAAGATATGGAGGCCGGCACCACAGATTGCACTATGGCGATCATTCCTGTTCAAGTTAAAATGCGTGGATGTTTCCAGTCTTTCAAAACGTATGCCTTTCTAGACCCAGGCTCTAGTGTTTCTTTCTGCACGCTCAATGTTATGAAGTTGCTTGGTTGTTCAGGTAGAAGAACGAAATTGACTATAGATACCATGGGGTCGTCACACACTATGGTATCATATCTTATTAAAGGTATGCAGCTTGGTGACTTAACCTTAGAAACTGTGATTGATTTACCAGACATTTATACAAAGGATAATATGCCAGTGTCTCATGGACACATACCTACTTCGGATGATATTCGTAAATGGGCTAATCTTAAAGGAATTGACTTGCCCGTTCTTGATGCAGAAATTGGTCTTCTGATAGGCAATAACGTTCCAGATGCATACTCACCACTGGAGATTAAAACTGGACCCCCAGGAAGCCCCCACAGTGTTAGATCCGCACTTGGTTGGATCATATGGAACTTGTTCATAGATTCGTCTAGATTGAGGCCTACTGTAAATAGGGCAGAAATTCAAGCAGTTCAAGACTTGGAGAATCTACGTCAAATGGTACAACAGACTGCTTCTTTAGATTTCCCCGAAAGAGCAATCGATGATGTCAAAGAGAACTCCCAAGATGACAACTCCTTTATTAAGAAACTAAATAAAACTTTGAAGTTTGAAGATGGACACTACACGATTGGTCTGCCCTTTAGAAAAGATCAAGTTTCATTACCGAACAACAAATCACATGCAGAATGTCGTCTTAACAGTTTAGTTAATAAGATAAAAAGAAATCCCCTTTATCATTAGAATTATACTGAGTTTATGGATAAGGTCATAACCAACGGATATGCAGAACAAATACCAGAACATCAGTTAGATCGTAATGATGGTAAAGTGTGGTACATCCCACATCATGGGGTCTATCATGCGAAAAAACCTATAGCCTGGTCGAGGTACATATTTAGTTTGAAAAAATTCCTACCCAAGCGATTATTATTTCATATGAACAAGTAGGGTGAGTGGCCTCCAGAAAAATTTCCCCCGTTGATAGGCCTTGGGGGAAAATTTTTAGGGGGCTTTTTTGTTTGGAACCTCGAAATCGCCCTAAAATCCGTTAATGGCTATGATAACTCGCTTAATATTCATATTTGGGGTTAATAATGTACTAGGAGCCTATAGGAAATCGATACCAAGGAATTCAAAAATGACGTCAAAATTGACCTATGACGTCACTGAACGTCATAAGTCAAGATGGAGCCAAAAATTTTGAAAATTTACCTCATTCTTGAAGTTTATCATAATTCACAATAACTCGACTGCCATAAAAGGTTAGAATAGTACAAAGTTGGTAGACCAGTTGTTGGATACTTCAGTTCGATCAAAGGATTGAATTTCACAGATGCTAAAGCTGGTGGACCGTATGGAACATAAGACAGAACAGGTATACCTCGGTCTTTTACCAATTCATTGACATGAACTCGAGCTAATCGTTTGACACACTCAGACACAGAGTCGACTCTGTTCTTCTTCTTTGTAATTCTTTTAAGGCCTAAACCGTGAAATGTTCCTTTTCCGTCCAACGTGCTTACGTTGGAGTCAGCATTATCTGCCACATAATAAGTAGGTCATTTCTCAGCTGCTGATAGACACTTCAGCGTAGGATCTTGTAAAATAGAATGTTTAAAAGTTTGTACCTCGTCATAGGAAACCGAAAACCCCAATGCATACAATTCCTCATTCAACCATCTAGAACCGAAAACTAAATCCATCTCAGCGCCCAGTCCAAACATGATTGGCGAAATAACTCACCTTTGCCGCACACATTGGACGATGGCATGGCCGATAGAAACCATTTTTAGGTCATTTTTCATCAACGTCTGTAACAGTTTGAGAAGACTAGGAGTAAGGAATTCGCATAAGCTATCATAGTCGTTCAGGTCATACGGATTTGGATATTCGCGTTTCGTGTATTATGCGTTCACTATCTTCCAACTGATTTGCTTTTCTTTCCTGATACCAAGAGTCACTAATTATGAAGCTGGCCATGTTCCGAAAGCATACTACGTCTTCCCTACTTCCACCAATATATGCAAAATAGATATGCTCCCCGTAATGCAATTTAAGCTTCATGAGTATATTTCTGAGCCTTCGCAAGCAAGTTCACCCATCTGGCGATGCAGTTCTTTGATCGAGAAGATTTCTGCATCCCCCTCGCTCTCGAGCCAACTACATAACAACAGAAATGAATCTTGTTTATTTTCATCAATTGACCAATTGATTAGCCAGTAGCAACTTCTGGTAACATCGAGCGTGATATCGAGCCTCAACAGCAACTAGATCATGACAATCTAAAAGCCTAGCTCTTGTTTCATCGGTCAAGTTATTCTAACTTGGTTCTAATTTCCATCGTCTCCACCAGTTTAATGCGATCGCGATCTGGATGACGAGCTTCGGAAATAGCATTTTCACCACATAAAAAGCAGTGCACTTTCCATTCGAACTATGGTACTTCGGATCGCAATTTTTTAGGGTGTGGTACTCCACTATCATCAGTGCTACGTGTCGATGTTCTTTCGTCGATATACGGCCGACGACAGCTTTCATGAACATATAGATTACCTTCCGTAAGTAACCGCTGTTGTTACGTCAAATCTCCCCTTAGCTTGGCGAAGCGAAAAAGCGTACCCCGACCTTTTTTGTTTAATTTTGTAGCTTTCTCGTGAGTAAAACCCTCCTCTCACATAATACAACAAGATTCAGAAAAGTTACCGTCATCTTCATTATCATCATTCATCATTACATACAGAAAACATGCAGCGGCTTTGCAGAAAGGTCTTTTTTTCAACAAAAAAAAAACGCAAATCAAACGTCACTTTCACTTTCACTTCTGAATTGCGTCATGGCTGGATACCAGTCAAATCACAGAGCCTGACCAGTGATCAGACGGATATCGGCGCGTATAGTGCAGCCCAGCACAGCACAGCACAGCACAGCACATTAGCAAACAAACTAAAACTGAACAAAAATATAAATGACAGGAACAATTTTTGGCGCCATTTCGACTTATGACGTCACTTTGACGTCATAGGTCATTTTTGACGTCATTTTTTAATTCCTTGGTATCGATTTCCTATAGGCTCCTCCGGTTTCCTCCCACTGCTAAAGACCCCTACGCGCAAGCGAATTATTGAAATAAAATTAAACCATATGTTAGTCCCGAAATGACCTAGTTTGTGTCGAGTGGACGTTAAACCCCATTTCTCTCTTTCTCCTATAGGCTCCTAGTATATTATTAACCCCAAATATGAATATTAAGCGAGTTATCATAGCCATTAACGGATTTAAGGGCGATTTCGGGGGTCCAAACAAAAAAGCCCCCTAAAAATTTTCCCCAAGGCCGATCAACGGGGAAAATTTTTCTGGAAGACTACTCACCCTACTTGTTCATATGAAATAATAATCTCTTGGGTAGGAATTTTTTCCCACTAACGCGAGATTTGAGGATAGCTCGACCAGGCTACTAATGAAATTCGTGTAGTATTTGACTGTGCTGCTTTGTACTCTGGTATATCCCTAAATCAACAGTTACTACAGGGACCGGATATGACGAACAGTTTGATAGGTGTATTAATTCGCTTTCGTCAGGAAAACATCGCTGTAATGGGTGACATTGAAAAAATGTTTTATCAAGTCCACGTTCCTGAATTTGATCAGGACTTTTTGCGCTTCCTTTGGTGGCCAAATGGTAATTTGAATTGTAAGCCTGTAATTTATAGAATGGTGGTCCATCTTTTCGGCGCAGTTTCGTCACCTTCATGTGCTAATCTAGCCTTACGCCAGACTGCAATCGATAACGCACATCTATTTGATAAAGCTGTGGTCACATCAATTCTCAAGAACTTTTATGTGGACGATGTTTTGAAATCTCTTAGAGAGACTGATGATGCTATTAGTTTTGTTAAGGACCTTTGTAATATTTGTAAAAACGGTGGTTTTCGTCTCACTAAATGGATCAGCAATAAACGGGATTTCCTGAATTCGATATCCATTAATGAAAGAGCCAAAGATATCAAGGAATTGAACTTAGATTGCGAGCCACTACCTTTAGAGCGTGCCTTAGGTATCAACTGGGTTGTTGAAACTGATGTGTTGAAATTCAATGTGAACATAAGTACCCTACCTGCAACAAGACGCGGAATTTTATCAGCTGTAAGTTCTGTATATGATCCGTTGGGATTAGTTTCTCCTTTTATACTACCAGCTAAGTTACTATTACAGCTACTATGTCAACTTGAACTTGGTTGGGATGACATTATATCTGACAAAGAGCTTCAGAGATGGCAGTTATTTTTGAATAATTTAGGCTACCTAGAGAGATTTGACATTCCACGAACTTATAAACCTGATGATTTTGGTGAGATTACGTCCTACCAAATACACGCGTTTGCAGATGCAAGTGACATTGCTTATGGTGTCGCCATTTACCTGAGAATTGTGAATGTTGACAATAAAATACACAGTGCTCTTTTATTTAGTAAATCTCGCGTGGCCCCACTGAAGAAACTGACTGTACCTAGGTTAGAATTGACTGCTGCTACTATTGCTGTTAGGTTGACAAATATGATAGTGAAAGAGTTGGAAATCACTGTTGATGAGCTATTCTTTTGGACAGATAGCATGTCTGTGTTGCGCTACATCAGAAATGAAGGTGCACGCTTCCTTACATTTGTCGCGAATCGCATCGCCATTATTCGTGATGGTAGTTCTTTATCATCTTGGCACTACATCAGCACTCGGCTTAATCCTGGTGATGACTGCTCCAGAGGACTGAGTTTTAATGATAGTTCACGGATAAAACGCTGGTTTAATGGACCCAGCTTCTTGTACAACCCCATGATCGAACGGCCAACTGATGAAGGTTTTTAACAACACATACCGGATGATGATCCTGAAATAAAGAAGACAATGGCTGCAACTGTTGTTGACAACTCAGCGAACATTGTAGATAGGTTGCTGTCACATTATTCCTCCTGGTTAAAATTAAGAAGAATTATCGCTCTGCTGTTAAGAGGATTTGACAATCTGAAGTATTGGGTCAACAGTAGAAAAGAAGTCTATTCTAATTTGAAAGACGGTAATCCTGATGATGATCAGTTAAAATCTAAAGTTACAGAAGAGATGAGGAAGATGAAACAGGAAGCTAAGAAGTCTATTTATCAACAGATAAATCCAGAAATCTTTAAAAGGGCTGAAACTGCTATCTATCATTACGTTCAGCATCGTCATTTTAGTGCAGAAGTAGAACAGCTGAGCAGTGGTCTGCCTGTGAAGAAAACAAGTTCTCTGAGAAAACTTGATCCTATGCTACATGATGGTACAGCGTACATGGACGAATTAAACACTGTTAAATTGCCTACTTCTACTTCAAAAGATGCTGGTAAAGACAAGAATCTGAACGAAGAAGAATTGACTTTACTTCGTACACAATAGGCGGAGGACTGGGAAGTTCTAACTAGCTTAGTTTTCAAAAGTCGTTGCAACTCACCGCTGTGGAAAGTTTTAATATTTATTTCTCGAGAAATAAGCCTAATGTGTTGTAAACAAAACTGCCACACTCCAATTTATGTGCCAGAAACGTTTTAAACAAATAATCTAAACGACAGCATTTTTGTCCTCGCAATAATAAAAGTAGTGAGACGGTGAGCTTTCAGCCAATGAAAATCTATTAAATAGCGAATAACAGTAAATACACGTGACCTTAAGGAGAATTTAATCGATCACCGTCGTTGTTTTGCTATAACATAATTAGGTCGATTTTTTTTAGCCAAACTCGTAAATCATATTTCTAATGGAAAGAAATAACAGTAAATACACGTGACCTTAAGGAGAATTGAATCGATCACCGTCGTTGTTTTGCTATAGTATAATTAGGTCGATTTTTTTTAGCCAAACTCGTTGTAAATCATATTTCTA